CCGTCCTTTTGGAGCAAGGGGGGATTGCAAAAGAAGGGGCGGGGCGACCACCCTGCCAAAACCGCCCAGGGGGGGTTGGCCCCTCCTTGGGCGGTCCTGGGCCCCCCCTGGGTAGAACCTTGGCCGAACCTGAGAAGCACCTTGGCCGGACCTCGGCCGGACTTTTTGCCGAGGGGGTAGGGGACCCTAAAGGAGGAGGAGGGGGTGAGGGGGATTTTTTCCCCCCTTCCTACGCACTTTTCCCCCCCCCTTGCCCTTCATCCCCCCCCGCCAAACACAAACCTCACCCCCCCCCCCCCCCTTCCAACTCTCCCCCCTTCCTCGCCGCCCCAGGTCGTGCCGCACGTGACGGACGCAATCATGGAGTGGCTCGAGCGGGTCGCGCACCTCCCGACTGACGGAGGCCAGGGGCCGCCCGACGTGTGCGTCATCGAGCTCGGGGGCACGGTCGGCGACATCGAGTCGTCTCCCTTCGTCGAGGCGCTGCGCCAGTTCCAGTTCCGCATCGGGCGTGAGAACATGTGCTTCTTCCACGTCTCGCTCGCCCCCTATTCACAGCCGTACTCTCCACAGCCGCACTGTGCACAGGTGCTTCTTCCACGTCTCGCTCGTCCCCGTGATTGGCGTCGTGGGCGAGGAGAAGACGAAGCCGACGCAGCACTCTGTCCAGTCCCTCCGTGCCGCCGGCCTCACCCCCGACTTCCTCGTCTGCCGCTCCGGCCAGCCGCTCGCCGCCGCCACGAAGCGCAAGCTCGCCCTCTTCTGCCACGTGCCTCCCGAGCACTGCATCGGCTGCCACGACGTGTCAAACATCTACCGCGTGCCGCTCCTGTTCGAGCACCAGGGCCTGACAGGCGAGCGGGCCACAGAAGGGGGGGGTGTAGTGGCCGTTCTCATAGCCTTGCTCCGCGCCCTTGCCTGCAGGCGCCCCTCTCCCCTACCCCACGGTACCCGAACCCACCCTCCCCTACCCCACGGTACCCGAACCCACCCTCCCCTACCCCACGGTACCCGAACCCACCCTCCCCTACCCCGCGGTACCCGAACCCTTGCCCGCAGGCCGCCTGCTGCAGCGCCTCTCGCTCACGCCCAAGATCGGCGGACCGGAGAAGGCCCTCGCCGCCGAGTGGACGTCCCTCGCGGAGCTCGTCGACTCGCTCACGCTCGACGTGCACATCGCCGTCGTCGGCAAGTACACCGAGCTGTCCGACGCCTACCTCTCCGTCACAAAGGCGCTGATGCACGCGTCCTTCGCCGTGGAGCGCAAGCTCCGGATCATGTGGATCGACTCGGCGCACCTCGACGAGACAACGCTCGCGTCGGACCGGCTAGCCTACGACGAGGCGTGGTCCAAGCTGCGGCGCGCAGACGGCGTGCTGGTGCCGGGAGGCTTCGGGATCCGCGCCGTGGAGGGAAAGATGCTCGCTGCAAACTACGCGCGCGAGAACGGCGTGCCTTACCTCGGCATCTGCCTCGGCTTCCAGATCGCCGTCATCGAGTTTGCGCGGTCGGTGCTCGGCGTCAAGACTGCCCACTCGGCGGAGTTCGACGAGAAGTGCGCCACGCCGCTCATCATCTTCATGCCCGAAGGCAGCCGCACTCAGATGGGTGGGACGATGCGGCTCGGCGCGAGGAAGACAATGCTCCGCTCGCCAAAGTGCCTCACCGCGCAGCTGTACAACGGCGCCACCGCCTTCGACGAGCTTTCCCGCGATGATCCCGAGATCACCCGAGATCACCCGAGATTAGGCGCCACCGCCTTCGACGAGCGCCACCGCCACCGGTACGAGGTCAACCCGGCCTACGTGCAGCAGCTCGAGGCGGCCGGCCCAGCATGTGTACCTCACTCCACCACCCAATTGCACATCCTCAGCAGCAGCTTCTCCACCCAATGCCCCTCTCCCCACATCAAAGCCTTCATATGGGCAGGCCGAAGCCCGCTCAACCCTCCCGCTTTCCCCCACCTCGGCTCTGCCGGCCACCCAAAGGGGATGGGGCCTTCTCGGAGCCGCCTCGACACCTCCCCGTAGGCGGCCGGCCTCGACTTTGTCGGCCGCGACACGACGGGCGAGCGGCCGCCGGGCCTGCGAGGCCGGCCGCGAGACCGCCCGAGACCAAGCCGAGTTTGTCCGGGACTAGGCGAGCGGATGGAGGTCTTCGAGCTACAGGGCCACCCCTTCTTCGTCGGCTGCCAGTTCCACCCCGAGTTCAAGTCGCGGCCGATGAAGCCGTCGCCGCTCTTCCTCGGCCTCCTCCGCGCCGCCTCCAAAGCCGCCACGGCCAAGCAGCCCTAGACCCGCTCGCCGGCTCAGCTACCCACAGAGGCGACGGCAAAGGCGGGTTGGGGCGATCAGGCCGCTGGCGCGGTCCCGGCATCTTCTTTGTGCATGTGTGGCGCGAGGAGGCTCATGGGTGAGAGGCGTTTTGAGGGTTGAGCGCCACCACTTGGATGCGCCCTGTGCGCTGGGCGCGCAACCGGCCCCTTTAGCGCGCGCAACGACACCGCGCGAGTGCAGTTGCGCGCAGGGCCGGTTGCGCAGTACTCGGTACCCCCGCGTTCGCCGTTCGTGTCTGAGGTGAGAGCTCTCTGGCTTCTCTTGTCTGTTGTCTCTACGTTACACGCGCGCGGGCCGCGGCGCCCCGGCCGTTTTCTTCGCGTCCCTCTGCCCTTCCTAGCAAGGACCAACATACCCTCACGCTCATCAGACTGTACTGCAACCGTACCCTGTACCTTATTCAACTCTGCGACGACCCCGCGCGTCAGCCGGCGAGGTCCGAGAAAGTCGCGAACAGGTCGCGAACGACGGAGAGCTACCAGCTGTATGCATGCATTCGATGCGTCAGAGGCTCAGAGCTCCAGCTTCGCGTACACCCGTGCGAACTCCTCAAACGAGATGACGCCGTCACCGTTGGCGTCTATCTCCCTGAAGATGGCCTCCACCACCTCCTCCGATGGGCGGGCTCGGGCGGCTGCGTCGAGGGCGACCCTGAGCTCCTGCAGGTCGATAAAGCCACTGCCGTCAGTGTCCAGCTCCCTAAAGGCGGCCAGGGCGGGAGACTCGCTCATTGCCGCCTCTTCACCCTCCATGGCATCGCTCAGCCCCTTTGTAAACTCCTCGAGGCTGATCTCGCCGTCGCTGTTCGTGTCCATCGCTCGGAACACCGCCTCGCTTTGCTCGAGGCTGACGGCGCCGCCAGCCTTTGCGAGCGCCGCTTGCAGCTCCGCAAGCGTGAGGAAGCCGGACTGGTCGGTGTCAAGCTCAGCAAAGATGGATGGACTGAGCACCGCAGTTCGCAGGCGGTTGAACTGCTCAGCGGTGATGCGCGGAGGCCGCCCTTTTTGCTCGCCGGCGTTGAGAAGGGCTGGAGAGGCGCGCAGGCCGCTGGGCTTGCTGAGTGGCGATCGAACGGAGCAGCACGCGAGGAACAGGGTTGCTGACATACACACATACACATACACACAGGATTCCTACGCCCAAACAAAGAAAAATTTCTCCGACCACACAGCAAGAAAAGTGCTCTTGCGTTACGGTGATCTAATCACACGAATGCCACGTTCGGAAAAACCCGCCGCCTCGCCGCCACCCCGCCCGCTCGCGCCCGACTTTCTACCTCCTCGTGATCGCCGTGCCGTTTGTCTCGCCGTCAGAGATGTCCTGCCTGCCGTCTGCTGCCGCCGCGCCGCCTTACCGCCGACCCTTACCGTGCCGCGCCGCCTTTACACACACACCTTACTTTCTGCTCGACCGAGTTTGCGCTGATGAGCGAACCGAGCCGCCGCCCGCCGGCGCCGGGTGCTCCGCAGCAGCCTCGCTGGGCCAGAACGTCGGCCCGCGAGGTGGGGTGCTAGTCTGGGACCCACACGTGGCGGTTCCCTTGCTCCAAGCGCTTGCGCTTCGGCGGTACTTGGAGCACTTGGAGTGCAGTCGGCAGCCTCACATCCAGGGCCGGTAGTGATCTAATCCCCCGAATACCACGTTCGGATCGCTCCTCATCGCAAACCCTGTCAGCAGTTCACCTACGGGTATGTTCGTAAGAGCTACATACACTGAGAGAGAGAGAGAGAGACAGAAAAGTTTGAAGTTTGTTTTTGAAAAAGACACCGAGCGATCGAAGGTTCGACGGAGCCCGGCCATGCTTACCGTGGCTGCCCTCCTGTCGCCCGCCGCCGTGAGGCTGGCGCCGCCGATGATGCAGATTAGCGACAAGTGCGGCGGCGCGGTGCCCTTCGCCCCGCTCGGCACCGCGGGGGGCGGCAGCTCGGCGACAACCGCCGCAATGAGCGGTATGACAGGCGCCGTCCGCCGCACACCGGGTCGGGTGCCGCAGCAGCGCAACCGCTGGCCCCTCGACCCCAACGTGAAGAGCGTCCTGGATCTGCAGCGCGGCAGCGTGGATGCCGCCCCGGCGCGAGCACAGGCAGGCGGCGGGGTGGGCGCTGCCGCTGCGCAGTTTCAGCGGCTGGCCGAGGGCACCGCCGCGGCGGGCAATGCGGCGGGTGCGGCTGACAGTGCGGCCAGCCCCGACGGCCTCCGCGCCATGATCGAGGCCACGACCGCCGACAAGAAGTCCGCCGTGAAGGCCCGGTACGACGCCCTCCTGCAGCAAAAGGACGAGCAGTTGGCCGCCCTCTCGGCGGAGCGCGAGGCCGTGTTGGCGGAGCTCGAGAGGGAGTGCGACAAGATCGACACCGAGGCGGCCGCCGCGCTGGCCTTTGCCGTGTGATGTGACATGTGAGTGCAGCAGTCACGTACAACTGCGCTTCCCTTATGCCCTTTGTGCTCTCGCCGCCCTTCTCTCGCCGCCCTGCTGCTGCGCTCTCGCCGCCCTTCTTTCCCCCGGCCGGCAGGCCAGATCGGACTGCAGTGCACCGACTGGGCCCTGCGGGGACCCGCAGCTTTGAGATCAAAGGCTTTGTGTGTTGTGTCGGAATATGATATATGTGAATGTGTAGCCACCGGAGAGGGGTTAGGGGCCACGTGGATTGAAGATCCCTCACACCAAGATCGTGCAGGGCGGGGACACATGTCCCTAAATCCTTCATAACTTTATACCACCCAAGTGCCAAGACAGCTTGGAGAGCTCCCGGTAACGCTACATTTCGTAACGACGTCGTCGCTACATGAATTGTTACATGTATTGTCTCTCTTGTATTGGCCATCTGCCTCCTGCAGCCTCTGTTGGGGCGGAATGCGCGGGGTTTTCGGCGCGATGCCTCCGGCTAGTACACGGTACTGCTCTGCCGCATACTCTCCTGCGCTCGCGTGACGTGTGGGGCGCACGCACTGCGCTCGAAAGTCGCGATTTGGCAATAGGCGCTCGAGCTGGCGCGCAGTGGAGGGGGCGCCGCGCAGGGGGATCGGGGGGGTGCGAGAGGGGGCGTGGGTCGGGCGCGCACCGGCCGGCTCCGGGAGCGGCCGTCACGTCGAAGAGGGGACCTGGTGCTGCTCGAATGACGACGCATGCCGCTCTGCTGTGCCGCCGATAGCCCCTCTTCCGAGCCGGCGCGTGGCGGCGAGCCGCGGCCAGTATCGCTGGTGCGGTGGAGGCGGCAGCTTGCATCGGCCGGCAGCGGGTGCGGCCATCACGTCGATGAGGGGGGGTTGTCGGCGACTCGTGTGGCTCGAGGCCTACGCTGCGCCGCCCAAGCCCTACTGCCGATCCAGCGCCTGGCGTTTGGGGCGAGCCGCGGTCGTCGTCGCTGATGGTATATGGCGGCGGCGGCGGCGGCTCGCCCTTCCCTCCGGCCGCAATTCCGATCCCGCCGCGCTCGCGGGAGGTGGCGCGTACTGGCGCGTACACCTTACGCCCTTTCTCCTCAACGGCTATCCGTGCTTGCTGTGCCCCTGCGTGGTGTGTTTCAAGTTCTTACAACCCAAGGTGATAGAGGGCAAAAAGATCGATTGCGCTCTTGCCGATCCGCACCTACCTAGGCTCTTGGGTGGCGCGCCCCAGCTCTTCACAACGAAGCTGGTTTTTTACGCACTCTCTTCCCCACCCCACGCTGCTCGCCTGGCCTGACGGGCCACACATAGATGAGGTTGTTTCGCCGGCCGCCGCTTGGCGTTTGTGCCGTTGAATCCACGACGCGCAGGCAGTGCGCCCGGCTGAGCGGCGTTTCGATGTCACTCGATGGGGCGTCGCCTCACAAGGTGTGGATCGCTATGATGCGCAAGGTCGCACAGCCCGAGTCCTTCCTCCCGGAGGGAATGCCTGTCTCGGTGGAGCTGCACGCCCCGGCTGGCTCAGGCCCGACATGGCGCTGCCTGACCTTCACAAGGCAATGACGCGCCACCTCGTACGACTCGGAGGTCGAGGAGCACGTGTACGTCGACCGGCTTGCCAAGCAGATCCGCTTCGTGCCGCTGCGCCCCGACGGAACCGAGTCTGAGTCCGAGGTGGTCAACGCGCTGCTCCAGGCGAGCGCGGCACGCCTCCAGCAGTAGCCTGCGCCTAGCACGTGAGGCGGCTTCTGAATCTGTGCCGCTTATAGGAGGCGCCTGCGAGCCTCGAGTACTTTTCCCGCAACCGCCGGACCGGCGAGCGACTCGAGTGGCGGCCGCGCTCTCTCGCCGTTCGCCCCCCCCGCGCGCGGTGCCTGTGAGGCGCGCCACGAGCCCGTGTAGGTCCGTTTCGGCCGCGGCGCTGCATGCCGACTTTGAGATGTCGCGGACCATCCAGCTGGCGAGGGAGCTCGAGGCTGCCGACGCGGAGGAGGAGGAGGCCGACCTGGCTGGCGGCGCCTGGAGCTGACGCCGGTAGTTCAGAGCGCCGGCGGCGTGCGGATAGAGCGCTCTGGCGTCTGGGGGATATAGGCCAGCGGATCCGATTATGATGCTCGCCACCTCAGACCCTCGCGCTGGGGCCGGTGGCTGGGCGGACGTGGACCGCACACAAACAATGCGCGATTTCTTTTCTTCTCCGAGGACCTTTCCCAGTAGCTTCGCTCTTCGTCTTGCCGCCGCCTAGAGATCCACCCGGCCCAGGTCGCACCAAGGTGCAGTAGAGACCGGACACAGAGAGATAACCTAGTCGTTGCTGCTCACACAAAAGCGCAATCCCGGGATCAGGTCGCACGCTGCTCACGCCGTCTCGATGATCGCTGCTCTCGCCGTCAACGCGCTGCTGCCCGGTGCGCCGCCGCCGCAGACCACAGCGACTCGGCGCGGGCTCCTTGGCGGCTTTGCCGCTCTTGTCGCTGCGCCCGCCGCCAGCCACGCCGTCACCGCACGGACCGGCCTTTCCTCGGTCTTCACGGGTGAGTACGACGACCCACAGCACCCGGGCTGCTTGCGCTCAATCAAGGTGGGCGGCGCACCCATGCTGCCAAGCGGCCGCCGCTCGCGCAATCCGCAGGCCGCCATCGCCGGCGTCGATAGCGCGTGCGATGCGAGGCCTGAGGCGTCGGCAGTGTGGAAGCTGACTGGCTCGGTCGCGGAGAGCGGCGAGTCAATCGCGATCGACTTTTCGCCAAAGGGAGGGCCAAAAGACCTCCTTGGCGTTTGGGAGGGCGACGGCATCAAGTTCCCTGACGGAAACAAGTGGACCAAGGTCCCGAATGGAACACCGAGCCGCAGGCCCGCTAGCCTCGCGACTCTCAACTCGGACTAGCTGCGCAGCCGGCCTTCACGGCGAGACGCGAGGTGGGGGCTCGGCCCTCGCCGGGAGATTCGGGACGCCATCCTTGAGACAGTGCTTGCGTTGAGGAGCACACTTGAGCACAACAGACAGTGAACACGTAAGTCGTCGCGGTGTCGGGTGTTGCGCGAACTGGGGATCTAAAACACGTGCCGAGATAAGGAACGCGGACGACTGAATACTCGGGGTCTAGTGCGTAGTGGTGTCAGAGTACAGAGAGAGTCGAGTCAGAGACGTAGGATTCCTATGCTACAAAGGCCACGGCGTGGACCAGAGATGAGGACCCTAGTCAACTCTGTGGACGGTCATCCGTGTACATCGTCAACGTCATCGAATTTTACCTACGACTAGTTGCAAAAAGGATCGCTCCTCATCGCAAACCCCGTCAGCAGAGAGAGTCCTCCTCCGGGAATGTAATCGTAAGAGCTACGTACACTGAGAGAGACGCCGCGCGTAGGGCCCTTAGGGGCCTAGAGAACACAACCCCCTCTCTCTTTTCTCCCAGTAAGCTAAAAGTACGTACACTGAAAAGTCTGTGGTGCAAAACCGCCTAAACCGCCTAAAACTGGTAACTGCGAAAAATGCTGTCAAGGCCAGCTCGGCACCATCTACTCAAAAAAAAGTGACGTAGAGCACCCACTTTTTAAGCGTTCCGTGCACACACAAGGTCTGTGTGCGTGCACCGCCAGCTTCTCAAGGCCATCGCGCGAAAAACGACGGAGGAGATGCATCCTAGCTGTCGCCACCGAAGGCGACTCGACGCCGCTGAGATCGTAGATCAAGCTCTGACAGGTCACACGTCGCTCCTTTGACGCCGACGTGACTCACCCGTGCAGAGCGCATCAGGGCACGGTCTCGACGCGCTCGGTACGACGCCTGCGACCCGTCTCGGGTCAGGTGGCACGACGCTCATCGCGCCTACCAGCGCTGCCGTGCTGGCTGCCACGACAAGGTCGAGCACGCTTCTATACGCTCGCCGAGCCTTCCTTTCCATCCCATTAGGCAGCCTGGGAACGGTGGCGGTCAGAGGCAAAGCCTACGAGGGGTGGTGATACCACATGTCACGGCCACCGCCGGCTCGACCCCACGATAGCCTCCGAAGGCTGACTTTGCGGCACCATCATCGGACGATGTCGACGAGTTGGGTCGCTCTCGCGGTAGCCAGATGACCTCTCTTCCTAGGAGCATCGGCCATGGCCTCAGGGAGCGCGGGGGAGGGCGCTGGAAGCAACACGGAGCTCCGTTGGAGACGTTTTCAAGATTAGCGTGTCAGAGTGAAATGGCACTAGCCTGTCTGCTATTGCCGCAGCCACTTCACAGCGCTCCTGTGGGAAGAGGCCCAGGGAGGAGCAGCGTGAGCTCCGCGAGACCGAGGCCCCCGCGAGGTTCACAGCGGGTCGGCTGGGGCATCCAGACAGGTGTGGACCGTGAGTTGTGAGGAAATCGAGGGACGCGACCCACCTCGCCACAGACGGTCCCGCGCCGCGCCTGGTGTCGGCCCGACCGCCCTGCGGCCCCAGCTACCAGCTGGCGCCGCTCGGCTCGGCTGGAGCTGGGGCGCCCAAAATCGCGGAGCCGGCGACGTCCTCCGGCCAGCAGCCGGATCCGGCGTCCGACCCGCCCCCTCGGCGACCCGAGATGGTCTCCCCGACCCCCGAGGCTTGACACACCGCGCGAGGGGGGCAGCCCAGCTACCCTGCACCGCCCAGGCCGCCCTCTGCGAGCCCAGGCACGCCGTCGAGAGTGCCGACGCGATGTCGACGATTTTGGTCTGCGAGACGGGGGCGAGGAGCGGTGTGAGGGCGCCATGTGCCCGGGCGGGGGACGGGCTAAGGGGCCGCTACACGGGCCGCAGAGCTCACCAGCGCCGGCACGGTGGCGCTGGTAGCGATGGTGCTGCTTGTGGCCGCCTTTGGCAGTACCTGACCGAGGGCTGACTCGCGACGGAAACGGGGCGCCGGGTGGGGGGTGCGGGGAGGAGGGGACGCGCCGCGAGAGGGCGGGAGGGGCGCTCTCACGTCTGGCTGGCCCGCCCCGTCCCCCACGGGGTCGGGAGGGTCGGTGGTGCTGCTGTGGCCGATGCTCCGCGTTCTATCGCTGCAGAGGGCAGGCCGGCTCTCCCGCCCGCTCAGGCCAGCTCTCCCGCTGCGGTGCAACTACTGCTCCCGTGCGCCATCGCCGCCCTCAATCAACAGTGCAGAGACGGCCTCAAAGATCGCACGCTGGTCGCTGCGGCTCAACGCGGACAACACATTCCTCAGCTACCACCGCAACGCTATTATCGCCACCGTGGCGGGCGCCGCGATGGTGCAGTACCGTAAGGGAGAGGGCCGGCCGCCGCTCGCGGCCGCCTGCCTCTTTGCCATCGGAGGCATGTACATGTACGTTGGCTCCTTTGTGTACGTGCTGCAGGCGTGGCGGCTGCGGACCACGCTGTCGGTCTCGCCCGCCCAGTTTGTGCTGCTCACGCTGCACGCGGCGTGGCCTCTCACGTTGTGGAGTGTCGCCCTGACCTGCCTACTCGAGGCGCGTGCCTCTCTTCACACCTCTCCAGTCTCCCGACAGCTTCGCGCGCACACCTCTTCTTCACGCCTCTCTTCCTCCACACCTCCCGCAGGACACGCCCTCGTGGCTGCTCAACGCGCTGGCGCGAGTGGAGAGGCGGCTGCCCACCGCAATCCACCGCTCTCTCTTCCTGCAGCCAGAGTCTCTGCGGCCGGTCGTCTCCCTGCTCGAGGTGGTCTTCCCACCCCACTCCTCTCTCAGTGCCTCTGCTTCTTCACCCCCACCTGTGACTCTCTCTCTCTCTCGGCAGGTGGTGCACGCGCACGAGAGCAAGCGGCTGCAGAGCGGCGCCATCGGCACGGCTGCCGGCGACACTCTGCGGACGGCGTGTCTTCAGCACCAGAGGGCGTGGCTCTAGGCGCCATTGGCAAGGCGTACCGGAACGTCGCCGCCGACGGCAAGCGGGTGCGCTCCTACCAGGAGATCGACCGAGAGCGGCGCCGCACCTCTCGGCGGGCGCTGCCCGAGTCCGGTCCGGGCGACGCGCGCGACGAGATGGCGGCGAAGCGCGAGATGAGCGCCTCCTTCGGGGTGGTGCTCTCCGACCTGGACTACGTCGCGATCATCTGGCTGCGGCTCGGCCGCATCGCCGCGCTGCACGCGCAGCTGGCGCCGCTCGCCTCCTCGGCCAAGGTGGTGACGACCGAGGACGCGATCCCGCTCGTCGAGGTACTTCCTGCCTTCCCCGCCTACCTGCTGCCCTCCCCGCCTACCTGCTGCCCTCCCCGCCTACCTGCTGCCCTCCCCGCCTACCTGCTGCCCTCCCCGCCTACCTGCTGCCCTCCCCGCCTACCTGCTGCCCTCCCCGCCTACCTGCTGCCCTCCCCGCCTACCTGCTGCCCTCCCCGCCTACCTGCTGCCCTCCCCGCCTACCTGCTGCCCTCCCCGCCTACCTGCTGCCCTAGGCGGTGAGCGAGACGGCGGACCAGCTCGAGATCGCCCTCGAGGCCGAGACGAAGCGGATCCGCGACCAGTCGCTGCTCCGCTCGTTGCTGCCCGAGGTCTGGCATCGCGTGCTCTTCACCGAGCTGGCACGCCCCCGGGAGCCGCACAGACGGTCCGTTGCGGGCAGCAGACGCACACCAGCGCTGTGGGTAGGCCCGCCTCGAGGAGGAGCTGACCGCCGTGCGCGCGCTCAGCCGGCGGTGCGAGGCGGTGCGGCACGATGTCGGCTGAGCTCACCCGTGATCACCCGAGATGACCCGAGCGTAGGTGCGAGGCGGTGCGGCACGATGTCGGCTCGCGGACCGACGGCTGGATGGACGGCCAATCGCGAGTCCCGGACGAGTGGCATCGGCCGGTGGAGCGGCTGGACATGGGAGGGGAGGAGGAGGCCGTCAAGAGCGCTCTGCTCACCTCGTGAGAGGCGTTACGCGCAGTTTCTGTCATCAAAAAAACGGTTCAGTCTTGCTCAAAGCACAAAGGCAAAACACGACGCTCTCCACTCGTCTGTGGTCGTCTCTGCGGAGTGCGCGGTTGACAGGGCGTGCAGGGGGTGTGCCGAGGTGCACACCCCCTTAACGTAATCACACACTGGTGACGCCGACATATTCGTTTATATTCCCCTCTCACGTCTCCCTTTGCCCTTATACCCTTGGCTGAGCAGATCTACCTGCGAGCTGATCTCTTTGCATTTTCTCCCCTAGACATCCGCCCGCGCCGCGCGCCGTCTATGGACTATTGGGCGTCTAGTGCAGCCACTGACGGCACTTCGGCACTCTATTCCAAAGGAGCGGTCGATGCCTCATGCCTCGCCTTAGCCTAGTAAGAGTTCGGGTGGACCCGCGCACTGCTTAGCCCTGAGGGGGGGGTAGTGTGTGTGAGGTGGTGTAATGTTGTCCCGTTTCAGGCGGCAGGTCAGGGGATTAGCCGGGAACAGGGAAGGGTTCGGCAGCTCAGCCGGGGGCGTCTGCAGGCAGCCTTCCGCCCGCGCCGAAATACACAGCCCTCCCGGGCCGACGGGGTTCTCCTTGGATCGGGCCCCGCTCCCCGCTAGCAGTTTCTGTCATCATTTTCAGCACTTGGAGTGCAGTTATCAGCCTCACACTCAATTTTCAGAATTTACAAAGAGAAATCCAAACGCGGCGTGCGACCGTGAGACGCGGAATCAAAGCCGAGAACACGATGGCGAGCCCTTCGTCCACGATCACTCGCTTGCTTTTTTCGCTCCAGCCTCTGTGGGGGGGCGCGGGGGCCCCCGGAGGCACCGTGCGCCGCGCAGCAGTGCGGAAACGGGGCTCCGGCTCCGTTAGTCTCCGTTAGCACCGACTTCCCGAATGGTTACGGTTGGTTAGAGGGCAGATTTGGAGAGATCTCAAGGAGTACAAACAGATAGACCCTCCAACCATCAGAAAACTCCGACCCGTACTGACCGCCGACAGATCACTCCAGACAGCACCGGCGTGTCCGCGACATGTCCGCGACACGTCCCGCAGGTGCGCGGCCGGGCTTCCTCCATGACACATCCCCTCCATGACATGTCCGCGACACGTCCCCTCCATGACACGTCCCGCAGGTGCGCGGCTGGGCTTCCTTCGCGGCGACCCTCTCCTCGCCGTCGAGCAGCCTGCCGGCCTGGCTTGGCGACTCGCTGCTCATCTCCCTCCAAACTGGAAGCTGACTGAGGCGGGCGGCTATCAAGAGTACGAGCTGCCAGCCGACTCTCGCGTCTACCAGTGGCGCTACTTCAAGTACACGGACGAGTACAAGAAGGGAGAGGAGAAGACGGTGGCGCCAGCGCCGCCCACGCTCTTTCCAGACAATGCTCGGCAATGCTCAGCTTGCACGGAGCACGGGGACGCGATGGCAGTCAGTCGAGACCAGTGCTCGAACTTTACCGGTATGGGAGTTTTTGGCTAATCAAACCCTAGGCCTGCACTAATCAAAAAGTGGTATGGGATACCACCTGCCTCACGGAAACCAAAAGCGAGTCCGAGTGCATTTTTGCGGCTAAATCGGCGAAATTGGCAAAATACCCGGTATTTTGCGGGTATACCTGTAAAAATCCGGGTATACCCGGGTAATACCCGCACTTTTGCATGGCTTCGCCTCCTGGCACCTGGGACCACACCCACAGCCGCTACACTAATCAACACTTACGCCTACCACTTTCGCATACCACTATACCATACCACTTCAAAGTTAATCAAAATATCACCAAATACCGGTCTCATACCGGTAAAGTTCGAGCACTGGTCGAGACACCGGAGCGGTGCGGAGGCGCTCCGTTGTCTTCGTCGTCGGACAGCACACAAGCCATCGGCACTACCAGTGCCGCGACGCGCACGGGCCTCCGTCACAGGCGCCTCGAATGGGCCTTTTCCGGCCGCGCCAAAGTGCTCGCCAAATATCTCGACCATCGCAGAGCAGACTGTGAACTTCGCTACGACGCTGCGGCGGGCGTGGGGCGTGCACTTTGCGCGCGAGTTCGCGCGGCACCGCATCCGACGCGTGGTGTTCGTGGGGGCCCCGCGGCGACAGCCGGGCAGGCCTCTCGCGACGGCCGATGGAGACTGGCCAGCGCTGTCGGCGGGCGAGTTTGCGGCGCACGCGCTGCGCGTAGGCGGCGCGTGGGCGGGCGGCCCGCCCGGCCGTCGGTGAGCACCGGACGCGAGGGTCGGTCGGCTCTTAACTAGCTGTATATAGTCGCGATCTGCCGGCGTGCGTATGAGCTCACTAGCTAGAGCTCACACTAGAGGCCGTCATCGCATTCGCCTTCCTGGGACCCAGCGCTGACTTCTGACTGTCGTTGCTGTCTCTCCCCCTTCTCGACTGTCTGTGCTTGTGCGTCTTGGGTCCGGAGTTGTGCGTTTATGTGAATGAGCGGGCCAGCAGCGCGGGCGGTTTTCCGGCTTGGGTGCTCGCGGCTCCCTACCTCGCCCTCGGGCCAGGCCCGATGATGTTGCTGTCCGTGCTTTCCGGCTGGCACGCTGCGGCGTTGTCGACAAGGAGTCGCACGACCCTGCTGAGCGGTGTCGTGCAGCAGCAGGAGCAGCAGCAGCAGCAACAGCAGCAGCAACGACAACAGCAAACCGACTCAGAGACTGGACGCATGCTCTCACAGTCAGACACGCCGCTCATCGACGCGATACAGCGG